CGATCGATGAAAATAAATAGAAGGTAGAGAGAATGGTAGAGAGAGCGTGTGGGGGTGAAAGATAAGAGAGAATAATTTTGATTGAATATTTGATTTTTGCTCAATTAAACTTCATACCTGATTTAAAAATAGTGGTCTTTAAACACTTGCTTTGATGTGATTTCTGCTTTGTTCAGCCATACATATTTTCACAAAAGTTGGGCTTAAACATGGGCTTGGCAACTTAAGTGGTACGCGGTAGTATAAAAGGAGGAAATACCTCTTGATAGCGTAAATAAAAGAGAGTTTTGTAAGATTAGACCAAAAAATATAAACATTTGAAGAATAGCCTTTGAACAATAATTTTTTTGAAAATACCCCTTATTGAAAAATTGCAACCAAAGCCACTACAATGTATAAAAACCTTCAATTAGGTCCTCAAAGAAATATAGATAAAAAATATTTAATAAATTTGAACCCAAATATTATAAAAAAATTTATTGATCTAAGAAATGCAACAGATAATAAATTAAACTATTTAAAAGAAGATCTGAAAAGTTTCTATACCGAATAGTTAGATCTAAAATTAAAACATAAAAATGCTTATATAGATAAAGGAGCAATCAAAACCAAAAATGATATACAAAAAATAATTCTTAACCAGAAAAGAAGAATTAAAGAACTAAATATAATTATTGAAGAAAAAGTATTAATAAAAAATAGTGAATTTTATAAATTCTATTGTGATATTTTAAATACTTATGAAGATTTTAACTGGCTCAAAAATTTTAACCCCTCCGCCGCATACTCCGATGAAATGGTATCAGAGCCATGTTACGAACCAAAAATTATGATGAATATTGTAGATGAAGAAAGTATAATTGGAGAATTTTTGAAAAAAATTGAAAAACATAAAAAATTTAGTTATCCCTATTTACCTAAAAATACAACAAATGAAAGTTTTGAGAATATACACAAAAGATTAGAAAATATAGAATATAATCTACAAGTAGGAAAAGATAGGATTATAATTAATCCACCTCAAGATTTTAGGATAACACAAAAACAAAAAGGGAAAAAACATGGAAAAAAACAATATATGATTACAGATGTAGAAGAAATAGAACAAAAATTCTTAAAATGTATAGGTGAAGAGTATGGAGAATATAAAAAACAGTTAAAAGAATTAACTGAAAAAATGGAAAATACAAAGATGAACACTAATCCATCTTCAAGTCAGAATATAAAAGTAGAATTCAGTAGTGATGAAGAACAAGATTATCCTTATGGTACCCCAATGCCTGATAAGGATGGTATTTACCAATATAGAAAAACACAGAAAAGATACACTGAAAATGTAAGAAAACAGTCCATAAAAGAAATAAACCCAATAAAATCTTATAATGAACCAATCCATACAACAGGTATATGGTTAGATCTAGACTGTGTAGATAAAAATAAAGCTATTGAAACATGGATGAAAATTACAGATTTAGCAATACAATTTAATAAATAGAAAACATATACATCTTTTGGATTTATTGAACATACATTCAGAGTCGAGATAACAAATATCTTCTTCCTTGGTGGCCATCCTTGCATTGGAATAGATAATATGATATTCAGATGGATAAACTTATATTTTTTCTTTCTCAGTAATTATCTGAGTTACATGTTCAAATATCTCTTTGTACCCTTTTGCTCTTCTGTAAGGTATCATATTTAAAATATCTTGATATCCATTTTTAACAACCTTTTGATTGGTTGGTAAAAAATGTTGATTTGTAAGTCCCATTTTTATCACATGGAACGATGGATGCATATATTCAAAAACGGGATCCCATTCCATAGTTGTTGAATGAAATCTGATATATATATTTGTGGTTTTGATGACTTCAGTATATCTTTTAACAGCTTTCCTGATATTGGCTGGAAGCTGAGCTATCTCTTTAAGATTTTTGCTAGGATATATACAAAGCATATTTCCTATCTCAAAACAATTTCGAACCCAGTTGGCTGGTGCTCCTGGATAAAAATTTATCTTGTTGTATTTTGAATAGTGGAAAGTTTTCATCCACTTTTCAATCTCCAGATACCAATAAAATATGCACCATTTACATAATATATTGATAAATATATGTTTACAACACCTTGTGCACATAAAATATTTACACCTAAAATAAATAAAACTGTTACAATAGCATATACAGATATAAACCATCAGATTTCCTCAACCCAGCATGGTGGATGTTGGAGTACAGAAAAATTTAAACCAATTACAGTTTTAAAAATGACAACAGAAAATAGGATTGAAAAACTGAAAAAAAGGTATTACAAGTTTAGGTAATACCTTTAACTCTTCTTTTACTTTCCTTATATTTTCACAATCTTTTTTTTCTCAAGACTACATAATATTTTTTCTTAATTTTGGAAGCAAATAATTTTTCAATTTGACACAATTTGCAATGAATCTTTCAGCATAATTTAATATACCAAGAAAACTTTGTAATTGTTTCTTATCTTTGATTTCTTCCGAAAATTCTTGAAATTTTTCTCCAATATGAGACTTCAATTGTAATTCTCCTTTTTTTTTTTTTTTTATAAATAATCCTAAAAATTCAATTTCTGCTCTAGCTATCTCAGCTTTCTTTTGAGAAAGTGTAATATCATGTTTTTTCATAATATAACAAAATTTCTTAAGATGTTCAATATATTCATCAATGTTATTTGAATGAATAAGTAAATCATCTACATATGCAATACAGAAATGAGTAATTGGTTTGATTATCTCATTCATTCTTCTTTGGAATATCTGTGGTTCATTTTTCAACCCAATGGCATTACATTCCATTCGTATTGTCCTGAAGAATTGGGGGTACTAAATGCAGTTAGTGGTTTACTTTCTTCTGTAAGCATGATTTGCCAAAACCTTGACTTACAATCAAATTTTGAAAATATCTTTTTGTTCTGTACTTGTTTAATAAGGGTGTCATTCTTCTAAGCTGACACTATTTATTCTTATTAGTTTTCCTTTAGAATTAATTTCTCTAACTTGTTTGTGGAAATCAAGCATTATCTGTTTTGGTATAGTGATTTCATGTTCTTGGTATTTCCTAGGAGGTATATATTGTGCTAATTCCTCAAAATCTTTATATACGATAATGTTAACAGTTATCTTCCTTAGATTGTTATGATGGCTAGTACTAGGTGGACCTCTCCTTTTGAAATTATGTGCCTTATCTTTTGAGTTTGTCCACCACTTGTGGCAATTGGTGGGGAGTAGTCACAATTATGGAGACTTTTCTTGCACCATCTTCTGTCTTTTAGTAGCCACAGTTTTTCTTTAATAAATTTCTTTATTAAAGTAGTGATAAAGGGCTGCTTTTGTTACCATCACTTTTTCATTTTTGAATCAAGAATTCTGTAGAGAATTCTTCACTATTAAGAGATGCTTGACTCATATCTTCAACAATACAGTATTCACAATGGTGATCACTGTAGTTCCAGAGTAATTTGCATAGTTCTTTAGCCATATCTTTTGATCCATGCACTTGGTTAGAAATAATTGCAGATAATAAATGGTCTAACTACCCAACAAAAAAAGGTGGAAAACACCCGTCAAGATAAGATTTCCAAAGGCTTCTATAAAAAGGGGCAAAGAGGAAGAAGAAAAAAAAAAGCTCGAAACAACTTATCTCTTAAACACTTGGAGGAAACACATCTTAGAGATATATCTTTTGTAATCTGTTTACACCACTTGTATTCAAAAAAATATTAGATAGCTTGAAGATAGTGAAGCGTGTAATAAAGTAATCACTTATGGAGTTCTAAACTTCATAAGGTGAGTACCAAAAGTATGTAAATATAGTTTGTAAATATGTACAATTTCAGTTTATGAATATCAAAGTAAAGTTTGTTATGTTCAACAAAGCTTTCATAAAAGGATTTCGTTAAATTTCTCATGATTCCTCGACAGTATAGATAGAGATTTTAAAAGATTTTCAAAACATTGATTTTAAATGGATATTAGCCATGCCAAAGTACCCGTCTTTGAAGAATGATTTGGGGGAAAAAAGCAATTTTCTAACAAAATTGTAGCACGTTGTGTGTAAGTTATCTTTTAAAATTTCGTTCCAAGTAAGAACTTGATTCTAAAAAAAATTTGGATAGAGGTGAAAATAGAGACTGTGGAAACTGTGAGATAGCGTCTGTGGAAACACGGCTAGTTCTCTAGAGTGAGAAATGCAACCTTAATTGAAAAGCCTTTTGCGGAAGCAGTTGTGGATCCAAATGATTTCAAAAAAAATTTAAAACTTTACTTGATTCAAAAGATTGATTAAGTACATGCAAAGCATCTATAAGAATATACTGGAGGGAAAACCTATTTACTTCCATTTGATTACTGTAAGTTATTTATTTGTTTTTACATGCTTATGCTTTAATTATTCTGATGAACAATTCACAAGCATCCACATCTACTTCTAATAATGATAATAATCTCATATTATTTTTAGATGAAAAAGATGTTTCGATTTTATTCAAATTAGCTGAAAAGTCTGAAGATATATTTCCAGTCGGCAAAGAAAAAAATTAAAGAAATATATAGAGATATAGATTATAATTGTAAGAATAATATAAGATTTGATTATGTAGGAACTAGTAAAGAGATAAGAAAGGTAAATGATATTATAACTAAACATAGAGATATACAAAAAGAAATTTCAGAAGGATTAATTTCAGGATATATAACCAAGAAAGGTCAGCCTAGGATCTTTAAAGAATAATTAAGATACAAAGAATATTTAAAAGTGTTTGAAAAATTGAAAAATATAGATATAGGTCCTGATTAATAAATCTTTAAAAATATAAGATACATCTTGCAAATAACTATAATAAGGGTAAAATAGTACTTCCAATAGAAAAGACCCTTGTGAAAAATTGGATCAATTATTCAGTCATTTTAAAAATTGCCCCGTAAAAGGCCTGCAAGTTAAGGCAAATTTAACTAAACGCGTGTTAAGGTCCAGGCTTAAAAGCGTGACCGCAGTTTGGATCAAGACTCAGGTCGTCAACAACAACTCTTCTTTCTCCCCAAGCTAGCATACCTCAAATTCTCCGTCTACCGCCGCCGGCTGCAAATCCGATGGATTCCTCGCCTCTCAATCATTTGCCAGAAGAAACC